CAACCAGTGTGTAGCAACACATCTATTTGTTTTGTTATTGGAAATGAGCATGATAAACAAACCAGTTTGGTTCCTCTTTCTCAGAGGTGAGCTGCTCCTGTGTTAGTCGACGGGGTTTTCCTTTTCTCTGCCTTGTTCCCATCATCCGGCCCTTGTGCATCACTGTTGCCATGGTTCCCGTATCTCTGGGATGTGGCAGTGGCAGCCACCAGGCCTGCCATATTTAGTCTGTGTCTGAGACTCACCCAGCCTGCTGGCAACAACACACTGCCATTTTCATTGTTATTTAGGTGTTTTCATTAGAAGTAATATGCTGTGGAATTAGTCATTCAAATGATGATTTCTGCCTACTTGCTTTATGACTTGGATATAATGATTTGGGTTAATCAGCCATGTGCTCTGATATATAAACATTGGAAAAATGTATCACATACAACATCCATAGAAATAGAATGACAACGTACTTCAAATTACATTTGTAATCCATGGTAGTAAGCTTAAATCCTTCAACCTACATTATCCTTTCAGGTAAGCCTTTCTTATTCCTCTATATTAACCACAGTGATCTCATTGTTAGATTACACTGGATCTTCAAATCGCAGCACTACATATACACTGTATCTGCTTTATGAAGTTGAATGGAGCTTTAAGATGTCTTCACTGGATAAACCTTTGAATTCTTTCCAGATTAGGAACATTAAAGAACAGTCGAGAGTTTAAGAGGTCGAAGTGCCACAGAGAAATGTAGAACTACTCGTAAGAAGATAGCTTTACTTTAGATGCTGGGTTTAGAATGTACTATATTTCTGCAATGTATGGAATACTCACACACACAGTACCATCCATTAAAGTGCTAATCGGATTTATCATATTCCATATGTCAATGACTAACAATTCATTAAACAGCTTAGTCTTTACTAAATAAATGTCTATGAAGGCAAACATTATTCATACTCAATGTGACTCATGGAGAATAATGGGTATGGTTGATATCATGCTGATTCTTAATCAGTACTTTAGGGCTGAGTCTGAAAAGGTACGCTATTCCCTCTATAGTGCACTACTTTTGACCAGGGCCCATAGTGTCCTCTGGTCAAAAGTCGTGCACTATATTGGGAATAGGGTGACATTTGAGATGCAACCCAGGCTTCTTTCACACTGGTGTGTGGGTGATGGGGGGGGGGGGGGGGGATAATGACTGCTCTCAGAGGTAATGGCAGAGAGAAGCAAAATGTAATCGAACAGCTCATCGGTTTGTGTCAAATGCAGATTAAGTTTTATTTACATTTTTGTCATTTAGCAGACACTCTTATCCAGAGTGACTTACAGTTAGTGAGTGCATGCATTTTTTTTCATACTGGTCCCCCGTGGGAATCGAACCCACAACCCTGGCGTTGCAAGCACCATGCTCTACCAACTGAGCTACATGGGATCATGTGTAGATGAAGATGTAGATGAAAGGTCATTGCAGCATCCTGCTATAAGCACCAAATATGAGAGAGAATCACGGGGGTTGTAATGTTGCATTAGAAGCTTTGTAGGCTTATGGGTTTTCTTGGTTTGCTCAGAATTATGTGTTTTTCAATGGCCTACACATGCCCTAGTTTAAAGCCCTACATATACCGTTCACACATACTGTACACATCGAGGTCAGTGTATACATTAAATCAAGAGAGAGAGATTCTACTCCAGGGTGATCTTTGAGCTCTGTCACTGCTGTGTGGTTCTTTGAAGAGATGCCTGAGGGGGTGAAGAAACAAATTTGTGCTTCACTGATCTGTATTAAATGGGTGGCTATGAGCAAGCACTCTCCTTCCAGATGCTGAACAACGTTATATAACATTTGTGTGGCTGTGGTGGTACATTGGATGTCTGTTGTCATTTTTGCTCATAAAAGTCTTACATTCTTTGTAAAAGAGGACCTCGCACTTGCATCTCATAACATTGACGTTGAATCGCTCTTCATGGTAAAAAAGTTATAATTGGATGTGTTTATAGGCCACCCGATACTGACATTGGTAGTTTTAACGTTGTCCTTGCATCAACCTTGGATTTGATTAATAAAGAAGATAAAATGTGTTCTCTACTAGGTGACTACAACATGAATTTATTTAAAAGTGAGAACCACTTACTGACATCTGACTTTTTGAATACTTTATACACCAGCTATCTATATCCCCCTCATCTACAAGCCCACAAAAGTGACCAGTTCATCAGTTATCCTTATTGATAATATTTTTACTGATTCATTGAATAATGTGGCAAAAACAGGTACACTTTATACTAACATTTATAACCAATTTCCAATATTCCACTTCTCTTCGTCAGCTGGAAATGAACAGGTGGGAATGGATAGTAGCATTAAATGTAGAATATTTAACAAAAGTAATACCGAGCACTTTAAGATGTTGATTGAGGATATTTAATGGGACATTTTTTATAATCATGCTGATGTGGAGTCTGCTTACTAGACTTTTCTCACATCCTTCAATTCTCTATTTCACCATTACTTTCTCTTATTCAGACCTTGTAAGTGAGCAGCAGATGGGTTCTGGAAACCATGGTTTACAACCGGTCTCGAGAAATCCTCAGTAAAAAAAGTTTCAAAAAAATCCCAACCCCCTTGAATTCTGCCAATTACAAATATACTAAACAAAAACATAAACGCAACATGTAAAGTGTTGGTCCCATGTTTCATGAGCTGAAATAAAAGATCCCAGAAACGTTCCATACGCACAAAAAGCTTTTTTCTCCGAAATGTGTTTACATCCCTGTAAGTGAGCATTTCTCCTGTGCTAAATTAATCCATACACCTGACAGGTGTGGCATATCATGAAGCTTATTAAAAAGCATGATCATTACACAGATGCACCTTGTGCTGGGGACAATAAAAGGCCACTTTAAAATGTTCTGTTTTGTCACACAACACAATGCCACAGATCATCCGTTCACCCACACTGCGTCTCACAAAGCCACGGCGGTTGGAACCAAAAATCTCCAATTTGGACTCCAGACCAAAGGACACATTTCCACTGGTCTAATGTCCATTGCTCGTGTTTCTTGGCCCAAGCAAGTCTCTTCTTATTATTGGTGTCCTTTAGTAGTGGTTTCTTTGCAGCAATTCGTTCATGAAGGCCTGTTTCACACAGTCTCCTCTGAACAGTTGATGTTGAGATCTGTCTGTTACTTGAACTCTGTGAAGCATTTATTTGGGCTGCAATTTCTGAGGCTGGTAATTCATCATAGTGCTGGTTTCTGCGACTGCACTTGAAGAAACTTTCTTGAAATGTTCCGTATTGACTGACCTTCATGTCTTAAAGTAATGATTGACTGTTGTTTCTCTTTGCTTATTTGAGCTGTTCTTGCCATAACATGGACTTTTACCAAATAGGGATATCTTTTCTATACCCCCCTACCTTGTCACAATACAACTGATTGGCTCAAACGCATTAAGAAGGAAATAAATTGCACAAATTAACTTTTAAGAAGGCACACCTGTTAATTGAAATGCATTCTAGGTGACTATCTCATGAAGCTGGTTGAGCGAATGCCAAGGGTGTGCAAAGCTGTCATCAAGGCAAAGAGTGGCTATTTGAAGAATCTCAAATATAAAATATATTTTGATTTGTTTAACACTTTTTTGGTTACTACATGATTGATATGTGTTATTTTATAGTTTTGATGTCTTCACTATTATTGTACAATGTAAAAAATAGTAAAAATAAAGAAAAACCTTTGAATGAGTAGGGGTGTCCAAACGTTTGACTGGTAGTGTGTGTATATATATATATATAAATAATCGTTTTTCTTTTGATGTGCTTTTCATATATGCTCTCTTGGGTTTCAAACCTCATCTGCACACCTTTTTTACCTTGTTTTTACGTGCACTGTTTGGTATTTCGTTGGTCTTCCTTTGTGTGGATGAATTAAACTAAAACTAACTTAAAAGAAATGTATGAAGATTGAGGAACAACCTGCACTGAAAATGTCTTTGTATTAAATTAAAAACAGTCCTCCATCTTTGTTAGATGGCTTATCTTTTTTTGTAGTCCAGTTCTGTGTGAACTTAAGAGCAGTGATTACTACTGTATTCATTCAAATTCCGTTACTTAGGCTAACTATGAATTGGATTACTTGTTTGAATACTTAAAAAAATAAAAACATTATTCATTTGAAGATAATTGTGATAGCCTATAAGTATAATTTAATAGTGTGCACAATTTAAGGGCACTCATGTTTCATATAAATACCCATTTTGAAATGTAGTATTTATTTAGAGTGAAAGGTCAAATTGTTAAAAATAGGAAAGCAAATAGTTTAATGGTCGGAGTTCAGGTAGGCCTTTGAGCTTCAGCCAACAAAGGAAAGGAGGGTTGCTCAACAACAATGACACAAATCATGAGAATGGCTTACCAAGAAAAACTTCCAAAAGGACTAATTCGCGGTAAAAAGGAGTTGGAGCACTCCAGAAAAAAAACGTCTAAACGTAAGTCATCTGTTCGCAGCCTGTACAATAGATTAAAGTGAAAAATAAATAATTCTCAGCTTTTTCCTGGAGTGCTCCAACTAATTTTTACCGCGAATTAGTCCTTTTGGAAGTTTTTCTTGGCAAGCCATTCTCATAGTTTAATGGTCGATTTAAATATTTTTGTCCATGTGTCTGGGAACAAGAGGAGCTACTGTAAATAGGGAGTGACTTTTACGCATGCGCATCAAGGGATATGTTATCGGAGCGCTAAGAGGCCGATAACTGCGAAAACAAAGGCAGTGAACAGCGGAACAAGAAACGTCATTTTCGGATTGCTCCTCCTTTTATGAAGATTCTGACAAAGGAGTAGCCTATTTTCATCAAACCAATTTATTATTTGCTATTCATATGAAACTTTTTACAATCCATTGTCATTGTATGATTGAGGATTTCTAGACGCTCACCCAGATCCCGCAATAGAAAGTGGCCTAAACGGAGTGTGGAATCTACAGGTCTCTTTTGGGTTTTATTCATGCCGAAGCTGCGAGGAATATCTAGTGAATGACTGTGAGTGTGTGAGTTATTTTCTTTTCTCACCACAAAGATACTACGACTGGAATAATGTGGGAAAAGTTTACGAAAAGATAAATGATGAATCTTAGGCAACAGGCCAGTCAATGATAATATATAATTAATGTTATCTTCAGACACTGGCAAATAACCAATCGTTGCCTATTGTGTAACCTATTCGACTTTCAAACTTTACGCAAAATCGATAGACCAGCATATAGCCTAAAGCAGGATTTTTCTCACACTTCGTGAAATCTCTACAGAGAATGTGTTATAATTATCGACGACTGATCTCCTGGGTAGCGGTGCGCTGTCCATTGTCCTGAAATTACGCTCTTCAAATAGCCTAATCAAACTAGGGCAATTCGCCACCACGCCATAGAAATACTGTAGATGAAATATGAGATTATTCGAGGCTTAAAGTGTTTTTTCTTTCTTTGATCGTGAACAGGGAGAGTGCCCAAGACAGCTATCCCAGAGAACACTGAATATGAGAACTCGAACCAGGGTTATATTGCATTCCCTATTACTTTTGGTTTTAGTAGGTAAGTGTTTGCACTTACATTATGCATTTGTCTCTGATAGTTTAAAATCACACCTGATTTAGACTTGTGATCCGACGGTTATTGACATGAATTGACACATCACAATCAAACAAGTTGAAATCCCAACACTTAGGCCTTTATGTTCCATCATCATTTACGTGACCTTTTTTTCAACTGACCACTTTGAGAGGTCTGACTAAGGCTAGTATGGCATGATTTGACACGGTCAAGTGACATAGTAAGCCTATAATAACATTCACTTTTATATAAAATATTCTAAATATTTCACCAGTTATTCCAACATTTAAAAACATGAACAAACTAATAGAGGTACTTAAATAGGGAGCATACAGTAGATCCTCTTCTCACTTCTCAGTAAGTTAAAGCCTCAGATGAGCCCTGTCTGTGCTGCCGTTCAGAAATAAGAAATAAATGAATTCATACATAACATTAGGCTACTGACATATAATTTAGACTGGGTTTCTACCTGGTCCTCTTTCCCAGTATGTTTCTGTGTCACTTTCACATACTGTGACTGTCCCGGTTTCCATGTGGCTGCATGTATGACCCTTCAGAATGAGCTGGAGATGTGATCGATGTTGACAGACAGCCCGGGGCTCTGGGTTACATAATACTAACCCTGTGTTTCATCAGTCAGTCACACAAAGACTCCATGCAGAAAACCACATATTTTCATCCCTCAATCACTATAGCAGCCTAACTGGGGTTGTCTGTGTCCCAAATGGCACCCTAATCCATATATAGTGCACTACTTTTGACCACATAGTGCACTACTTTTGACCACATAGTGCACTACTTTTGACCACATAGTGCACTACTTTTGACCACATAGTGCACTACTTTTGACCACATAGTGCACTACTTTTGACCCGGGCCCTGGTCTAAAGTAGTGCACTATATATGGAATATGGTGCTGTTTGGGAATCAGCCCTTGTGTAGTGGGGTGGATGATACTACGCTCACTGCATGTGTCCACGGTTGTCAGTCCAGTGTGAAATATATTTTGGTACGGGGTGTGAGAATGTATTATGTGGTGAGTGAGTTGTGATTTGAGAACAGTGGTGTCTATGGCACTGCATTATGCCAGTCTGACTGGCACAACAGGGAGCTCATCCAAGGCTGGCGCACATGACATCATTAAGAGGGCAGCAAATTAGGTCACAGGGTTATCCGATAGAACACCACACTCTGACAACAGACCAGGGGGTGATGGGCGGAGGGTGTGATTGAATAGAATACAATCATACATTTGTGTTTTTGCTGTCTTTTATTCCCACCTGCTCTCACATGAGTGTTATCCTGGAGGCAGAACTGAGTGATTTTCCCTTAGGCCAGCTGCAAAGTCAAAATTGGCTATATTAATTTATGGTTAGGGTTAGACATTAGGTTTAACAGTGTGGTTAAGGTCAGGGTTAAGGTTAGGGTTAGGTTTAAAATCTGATTGTATGACTTTGTGACCACTCTGCGGAGCTGCCTGCAGAACAAGATTCATGACAAAAAACGCGAACCTGCCTCTCTCTCTCACACACACACACACACACACACACACACACACACACACACACACACACCCACACACACACACACACACAAACACGATTATGTATCTCTGGGTGATGTGTACTGTACATGCTACAATGTGGTGCTTGGGTGATGCCGCTCTGTGTGTTACTATCACCAGTGCAGGTGAGCAGGCCAGTATGTGTGGATGTGCCCTCGGAAACAGAGGCAGTCGTTGGGAACCCCATGAAACTGACCTGCATCTCCTGTATGAAGAGAGAGGAGGTCAGCGCAGAGACACGCGTGGACTGGTACTACATCCCACCTGACGAAGAACCCATGCCTGTAGGTCTCCTCCATCTAACATCCATTTTCACATTACAATTATTTCACCTGATGATAGGACCAGCAGTTTTTCATGACCATGTGACCTGACCAGGAATGATTGCCTATAACTAGGGCATGGAGGCTTTTCCTGGTCAGGCTGTATGGCCCACAAATACTTTGAACTATGAGGGAAAAATCAGGCAAAGTTAGCTAACAACGATTAGTGTGTGTGTGTGTGTTTTTGTGTGTGTGTGTGCCTGCTACATTGCCCCCTCAGATCTACCTGTTTGATGGACAACCCAGGGAGCTGGACGGGCCTTGGAGGGGTCGCCTGGTGTGGAATGGAAGTAAAGATCTGCAGGAACTCTCCATCAGTATCCTCAACGTCACAATGAACGACACGGGCACCTATAAGTGTGTGGTATTCCGACAGTTTGAGTTTGACTGCTACTCTCCTTCGGTTACCAACAGCCTGGTAATCAACCTGGTGGTCAGAGAAGAAGGTAAGGGTACTTCCTGTTCCTTCTTGTTTTGTAATTGTACTTCCTGTGCTTTCAAGCTCCTAGCTGGAGGCTTAACTATCTGTGGTTTGCGTATTTATACATGCTCTGCCCGTATACCCTATTCTTCTTGGTTGTGGCCATGTGTTTTGACAAAACTTAAAATTAAAATGTATTATTTGGTCTTAGGTGCTATTAGGTATATTAATCTAATTTACAATTTTCATTAAATGTTTTTAATAGTTGTATTGTATGAGTAATTGTGTTTTTTTGTTCTGTTTTTATTATTATCAAAGCTCAGTTGGTTTTTCTAACCAACTATTTTACTATCTATTATAAGGGGTAATATACATCATTTGGTTTCTATTTACTGGATGCTTTCTGGATGTTCACCTCACTCAAAAATACTATTTAATAGGTGTATTTGTATATAATTATTCCTACATTCACTTTACAATACCTCTATCTGCCTATCTATTGTGGACTGCTGGCTGGTTCATATCTGCATACATCTACATTTGACAATAGTCATTACCAACTATATTTTAGTTTGCCCTTGTATACATTACGTCAAATGTACAACTTTTCTTTTGCATCTCATACCATAGTGGTGTCCTATTGCAAAAAGCTGTGGGTCAGCGATACATTTTTCATTCCAATATACGAAGGGATTTACGATATTGATATCTTTCTGCAGCTATTTGGAAGTTTCACACAGAAAATGCTGTGCCTCAGGTTTCTTGGAGTTTGGCATCAATTCATTGAGACAGTGGTTCTCATCAGATCCAACTCCAAAATACCTTATTTAAATCGAAGGAAAATCTTTCCACTTATAAACAGTTTTTTTTAAATGTATACATCTAATCTGCTCTATTCATTTGATAATATTGTACCAATATCTTGTGGTATATTGGACTTCCTTATTGCCACAGTAAAAAAAATCAGCAATAACATCTGAAACTGACAAAGACACAAAAATAACATTGAGAATCGCTATTATCGTACATGTTTTTGCTGTTTTCTTTCTCTATGTATTGTAGCAAGAAGTTTTGATATAGCATGGTTTACACTTTTATGTTACAAATATGAAGCCTAAACGCTCCAGTTTAAGGCTGGTATTACTGTTGCAAGAGGGATGACAATGGGTCAATTAAATGTGTAGTTCAATTAAGACCTCATGTGTATTTAAGAAAACAGGTGGAAGCGATTGCATAATCGTTGTTTAATACGACAATTTTTTAACTGAGGGAATTTGACCTATCAATATGAGCTACAATATCTAATGTGTTTTGCATAGAGCTACACTAACTATTAGCTGGCAATAAATTGCCTGGACAAGAGTGGTAGAGAATTTAGGATGCATGCAGGAAAACACTAAAGCATTAAGTGAGGACTTTTTGGCTATTCCCAATAAGGTTACGTGAAACACTATCCTGTATACTTTACACATTTGATTATACTAGCAATAATTTGATTTTACCATCTTTATGATTGGACCATTATCCAATCAAATGTATATTCTCAATATGTACCAAAGAAACTCTCATATGTACAGACAAAGCATGCTTAACTGCCTCCTATACTGAATGAGATTGACTTCACCTGGCTAACAGAACAAGCCGTAATGCCCACATATGGGACTGTTCTGTCATTTTGATTATGAGTGAATTGACCAATCAGAAATAGATTGCTGCATACTGAAGCCATTTTAATTAGAATTGTCATTTCATTGCTAGTGGCGACAGGACAGTTATTTATTATGGCTGATATGCTGGGTCTCAAAACACATTGAGAATCTGTTCACCGTCCCATACAAACAAATAGGCCTGGGTCTCAAAACACATTGAGAATCTGTTCACCGTCCCATACAAACAAATAGGCCTAAATGGTTATCTAACTAACACATAGTTATCTTTACTGCTCTATGCCTTATTCACAAATTACATAATTGCAGAACAGTCTGTGCAAAATGTACAGTAAGTCCCTATCAAACCAATGCAGTTTAAATACATTGTCTATTTCTGTTGTCTTGCAGTGTTCTATCCAAACAGATGCGGTGTGGGTTGTGTCATAGAGATGGAAAGAGGGCACACCTATCTTTGCCATTCATCACTTCTGTGACAGCATGGGCAGAACCATTGAGGGCTATATCAATTTCAAAGTAGTCAATGTCTTCTTCTTTTACTTCTATGAGTTTATTGGTGGTTTGTAATCAAACTAAAAAGGTGTATAGCTCCACCTACTGTGTTAGAGTGTGTATAGTCTGAACAGGCATAAAGCTAAAGTTAATGATTTAACTGCCACCTGTGGTGCTTGAATCTTTGCTCAGGAGTACTTGGCTAATCCCTTCTGCTGACTTGGATGGAATTCTGTTATCCTTCCTTAACCCATAGGTAGTCCCACCCAGTTGACTACTTTAAAATGGTGAAAGCCTTTGATGGCGCTGCCAATGCTAAAACCGACTTTGTAGCAAGTGTGCCCTATATCCATCTCTATGGGTTGTGTGTGTCTATCTGGCAGCCAGTGACAACACCACTGCCCTGTACTCAGAGATCATGATGTACGTCCTGCTGGTCTTCCTCACCTGCTGGCTCCTGGTGGAGATGGTCTACTGCTACAGGAAGATCTCCAAGTCAGACGAGCAGGCCCAGGACACCGCGTGAGTAGCTCTTAGCCATGTGTCTCATGGCTGTTTATCTCATAGGCTTGTCTTGTATCTCGTAGCTTTGTATCTCGTAGCTTCGAATCCCGTAGGCTTGTATCTTACAGTCGTGTCTTGTATCTCGTAGCGTTGTAACTCGTAGCCTCGTATCTTGTAGCTTCGTATCTCGTAGCCTCATATATCATGGCCTCGTCTCCATACTGTATGTACCAAGGCCAACTCTAGTCGTCTATCATTGCCCTGCACCATGTATCTAGATGTATGGTGCAGGGCAATGATTGACGACTAGAGTTGGCTTCAGCATATATAGTATGGATACGATGCTAAGTATCTCATACTGCATGTGGAGTTTTGGCCTTACCCACAGTAGGCATTGCTGACAATGTGGCGTACAATTTCCCTTGCTGATTTTATGACCCCTTCAATAACTTGGGGGTAGTGAATAGTTTACATTTACTGTTAGGCCATGCAGTATCCAATGTATAGGTTGTGAGGTTTGTGAAAGAGTGTAATGGAGGTGTAATGGTCTGAAGGCACCTGCTATCAGTAGTCGGTCAATAGTAGTCGTGTTTCAGTAAGTCGTCTTTCTGCTGAGGTCCCTGGATTGTTTGGAGCGCTCTGCTGACTCCTGTTCTGCCATTTTCAAACAACCAATTCAGTGCTCTGTGGATTTGCAGCCGGATCTGAAATTGACTTGTTCTGTGGCCAAGGCTTAAATATATTCCTGTGCTGTCAGCTCCCAATGATTGGTGATGGTGCTGAGCGGTAGATGGAAGTCAGTACAGTGGATTGTGGCCATCAAATTTCAACCTTGCAGTACGATATTGGGTAATATACAGTGCATGTTTGAATCCAATGACGCTATTTCCTGTACCTTACACTGGAAGTACCAATAGTGCAGGATAGATGTACACAGAACTTACTTAGGAAATTGAGAGAATGCCTGAAGGCATCGATTGAGAAATGGGTTAAAATAATGCACTTCTGAACAAATGAAGAGAGTACGCTGTTACATTACATGGTTCATGACAGTTGTTCCACAAATGCTTTTTAAATAGAGATCACTTTGCACTTTGCATCAGTCTAGAGGCAATGCCTAATGACCCTATGCCCAGGAATACCACAGTAAGTTTAACCACCAGTGGTGTGTTGCGAGGCGTGACCTCCATCCGTTCTAGTGCTGACAGGACTTAGGGCTCTGGTAAATAATAGTGCACTATGGGAATAGGGTGCCATTTGGGACATAGCTATGGTATTGAGCTGTTTGAGCAGATAAACATTAGAGGCACATTGATGGCAGCCAGCCATAATATGTGACTGGCTGTTCAACAGTACAGGATAATGCATCCATTTAAAAGGATCTGTAGCATGCATTACTGATCCTAAATCACATCAATTGTGGACTGTGGAGACAGGATGATCTCCACCAGTTGCACCTGTGGTTAACCGATTTCCTACCGTTTTCCCACTTTCATTTGACATGGTCCTCTTACTTGGATACTTTTTTAAAAATAGAATAATGGCTAGGAAATAGGCTAACTCATGGGTTGTGGGAATCCTATTAGCAAATGTGTCATAGTTTCTAAGTCAGTATCCAGGCTTATGTTCGATATTGCTGTTGCCATATTGTCACGAATAAACTGGAACATTCCCAATGAAAACGTATCCCAATTGTCTCAATTGTTTTGCAGTTGTCTCAATTGTTTTGCATTGACGGAGTTCAATAAGAAAGCCCCACTGAAATGTACACAGTCTGATGCACCACAGGGTCTTAGATTTGCCTCTCTTTCTACCCATCTACAGGACAGACTACCTAGCCATTCCCTCAGAAAATAAAGAGAACCTGGGTGTTCCAGTTACAGAATAAAAGTGATTGTCTCACACCAATACGGTATTTTGAATGTGCCTCTCAATCTGATCTCGATCAGATAATCACTCTCCCCTTCAACTCATCGTATGTAACTAACCGAGTCTCTTTCTGTTGCACCCGCATCCGCCATTTTCTTCCATAAGACTTTACTCACTCACACCATAGTAATAACGTTCCCTTCCTCAACCACTCATCTCTGGGCTTTATCTCCATTTACCATCAGCTCTTTCTCACTCATCGTACTAGTACTAATATTAAAAGTCTACCTAATAGTGAAAATAATGAGAGGTGAAAACAATAGTTAAATAAGAAATCCACTCTCCACATGAGATTCTGTGGTACCTGATTTGAAGTGTTGTTTTCAAAGGGAGAGTGGCCCGATTACATCAGTGATAGAAATGAGGCCTTTGAACACTCTGAACATACCCCCTGCTGAGTTCTCAGAACAGTGGACGGAGACATGTTTTCTTAGTATTGCTAAGGGGCTGTGTGAGGCACAGTACATGTTTTTAGAGTGGTACGTTCTGTTTTTTTTAAGTGGAAGAAAGTTTATTGTTTTACATTTCTGAATCTGTATTAGAATATCTGTTATTGTTGTACCTAAAATGAATTTTTCAACACATCAAGCTACTTAGTCTGTCCTCTGTTTCAGGTACTGACCAATGGTGTACCAAGCAGTTCGTAGTCACCTGACGATACAGACTGAACTCTTTGAAGGGAACATTCAGTGATGATGTCACAGCGCCCCTCAGCAACCAGGAAACCTGCCAAGTGGAGTCCCCTTTGTCTTGGTCTTGTGGTGTGAGCTAGCCAAATACTTGAACGCTCAAGTTATACTCTCCCTTCTTATTTCACTCTGAACCACTCTGTGCCAGACAGCAGGGATTTGATGATTAAGAAGTTGTTTATGCCATTTGAATGTCACCCACAGAAAAAAAACTGAACCTACCGTTGCAGAGGACCAAGGAATTACTTCAAAGCAAATTACTTTTAAATGTGTCAAATGTTGTTAAAATGCTAACAATTATACTGCACTGCACATCATTGGCGAGATTACGGGTCAAGGTTTTGCTCTTATACGACCGGTGTCTCTTCATTATCTTTTTACAGAAATTGGATTGCATAGCTTTTCAAGTTTACTTCACTTAAGTTGTTTGGTGAAATGATATGTTTAATGCACAGTATGACTGTGGTTTATGATATGAACACTGAGTCCTCACGCTGGTTCTTAGTGTGACTCCAAGGCTCCATTTAGCCAACTATGTCAGAAGCTCCTTTTTAAGTTCAATTCTCTTCCACAGAAAGAGCCTGGTATGAGAAGATGTTGTGTATTTGGATCTTAGAGAGTGACTAGGCTATTTTACAAAAGAAGAAGAAAAAATATGGTACAAAGTCACAGTAATTGGTCCCAGAGATTCCTCCATCTTTTACTCACGTCATCAATATGGCTTTTTTACTCAGCGTGTTGTGAGCTATGAAGTTTATTCAATGGCATCTGAAGAAATTCAAAACAATGATGCTGCATAATACAACTACTGTATGCCCCAATAGCCAAATACTTGATCATGCTAAACCATATGCTGTTTAGGTTGTTGTTTTTTAATCTACAGTAGCATTGCTATTGAGACTCAAATATGTGCCTACTTCTATAGTTACAATTAGTGTATCTATTGTGTACAATCATACCATATACTGTATGTCTAACTGTAAGTCGCTCTGGATAAGAGCGTCTGCTAAATGACTAAAATGTAAATGTATGTCACTGTATCTCTTATACACTATCTCTGTATTGAGCTATTAAAGGACAATGCATTCCAAATGTATCCGAACCCTTCTCCATACTTATCTCATTTGTAAAGTCGTTCTACATTGATCTTGATTACACAGTTGCCACAGAGACGAGACAAGCAGGTCGCGTTTCATTGAAATGCTCAAAATAAATCAACACTCAATATGAATTTGTGCAAAGCTGTCTGTCAGCCTCCTTACTGATTGTGTGACTAATAACAGAGGAAGGCATTGTAACGGTTTTTAGATACCTCAAAAACATAACAGATAAAATATAACTATTTAGTTATTGCCTGAATAGTGAATACCACAGGGAAAAGGAGCATCATCCCATTTGCCACAGATGCAATGTGACTAGTCCACCCACAAGGTTTCGACGACATGTCTTGACTGGGGACTGGGGGTGGTGATGGACTGGGGGTGGTGGCACCAAGCTGATTGAGACTGAGGAGGTAGAGTGTGAATGAATTAGGCCAAGTCTAGGTGGGTTTAGCCATCCATCTGTAATATCCATCCACCTCCGCAGTGCACAGCTGGTGTTAAGCACCTTAGGATGGGGGGCAGTCCTCGGAGAGCAATCTCACCACCGCCATGTTCTTGTTCTGGGGCCACCGGTGACAGATATAGCATCTGTCGTTATAGCAACTCAGGCAAGCCCCGAGCAGGGAGCAGATTGGTTGGCTTCGACTTAACCATGCCATGATGACAGAGTTGTGCGGGTCATGCACTAGCCAGACATGAAGATAATGACTACATAGTACAGGGCACAAGGGTTATCACAACCTTAGCTAGTAATGCACCCAAAGCATAGGCCTACATCATTGATATGAAAGTTCAACATTTCATTATCTGTATGCTGCTACTGATTCAGCCAGTAATTCTTTTTCCTCCTCTTCTGTTTAACAAGCGTATCTATGGAGTACGGTACAGTTTCCTATCTCCCAAAGGGTACAACCCACAATTGTGACCCACATTCAATACTTTATAATTATACCAGGCTGTTACTGCTCTGAAATACATTCATTTATCACAGACATTAATTCAATCATGCTAGATGTTCTATTGGAGCTGGAATATTGCCAATCCATCACAACAATTCATTAACATTTTACACAACAACAACAACATATTAAATCACTCTATATCCCAGTCTGTTGTCCCCACTTGCTTCAAGATGTCCACCATTGTCCCTGTACCCCATAGCACTCATTAACTTTGAGAGGCTAGTTAAGGATCATATCACCTCCACCTTAACCGTCACCCTAGGCCCAACTACAATTTGCATACCGCCCCAACAGATCCACGGATGACGCAATCGCCATCGCACTCCACAATGCCCTTTCCCACCTGGACAAAAGGAACACCTACGTGAGAATGCTGTTCATTTACTACAGCTCAGCATTCAACACCATAGTGCCTTCCAAGCTCATCACTAAGCTAAGCACCCTAAGACTGAACACCTCCTTCTGCAACTGGATCCTGGACTTCCTGATGGGCCGCCCCAAGGTGGTGAGGGTAGGGAACAACACATTCGCCATGCTGACCCTCAACACGGGAGCCCCTCAGGGGTGCGTGCTTAGTCCCCTCCTGTACTCCCTGTTCACCCATGACCGCGCACAACTCCAACGCCTTCATTAAGTTTGCTGACGACACGATGGTGGCAGGCCTGATCACCGACGATGATGAGACAGCCTATTGGGAGGAGATCAGAGACCTCCCTCAATGTCTACAAGACAAAGGAGCTGATAGTGGATTACAGGAAACGGAGGGCCGAGCATGCCCCCATTCACATCGACAGGGCTGTAGTCGAGTGGGTCGAGAGCTTCAAGTTCCTCAGTGTCCACATCACTAAGGACCTAACATGGTCCAGACACACCAACACAGTCGTGAAGAGGGCATGACAATGTCTCCTCGAGGCTGAAAAGATTTGTCATAGGCCCTCAGATCCTAAAAAAGTTATACAGCTGCACCATTGATAGCATCTTGACTGACTGCATCCACCGCAAGGCTCTACAGAGGGCAGTGCGTATGGCCTAGTACATCACTGGGGCCAAGCTCCCAGCCATCCAGGACCTCTATACCAGGCGGTGTCAGAGGAAGGCCCTAAAAATTGTCAAAGACTCCAGCCACCCAAGTCATAGACTGTTCTCTCTGCTACCGCACGGTAAGTGGTACCGGAGTGCCAAATCTAGGACCAAAAGGCTCCTGAACAGCTTCTACCCCCAAGCAATAAGACCGCTGAACAGTTAAGCAAATGGCTACCCTGACTATTTACATTGACCCCTGTTAATTATCCATCCTGATTGCCTAGTCACTTTTACACTTACTTACATGTACATATTACCTAAATTACCTCAACTACCTCATTCCCCTGCATACTGAGTTGGTACCAGTACTACTTGTATATAGGGCCCCGTGTAGCTCAGTTGGTAGAGCATGGTGCTTGCAACGGCAGGGTTGTGGGTTCGATTCCCACGGGGGGCCAGTATGAAAAAATGTATGCACTCACTAACTGTAAGTCGCTCTGGATAAGAGCGTCTGCTAAATGACTAACATGTAAATGTATATAGCCTTACTATTGTTACAACAACCCCCAAAAATATTGTACTTTTTTATTTAATTTTTTAAAACTCTGCATTGTTGGGAACGGGCTCGTAAGTAAGCATTTCACGATAAAGTCTACACCTGTTGTATTCGGCGCATGTGCCCGAAAAAATATATTTTGATTTGAAGGCGGAGACGGTACTGGTGCATCAAAGCTGGGACCGAGAGACTGAAAAACACCTCTTCTCCAGGCCATCAGACTGTTAAATAGTCACCACTAGCCGACATCTGCCCAGTACCCTGCCCTGAACTTTAGAGACTGCTGCCCAATGTAGATAGTCATTGAACACTGGTCACTTTAATAATGTTTACATACTGTTTACCCACTTTATATGGACAGTTGAAGTCGGAAGCTTACATACACCTTAGCCAAATACATTTCAACTCATTTTTTTCACAATTCCTGACATTTAATCCTAGTACAAATTCCCTGTTTTAGGTCAGTTAGGATCACCACTTTATATTAAGAATGTGAAAAGTCAGAATAATAGTAGAGAGAATGATTTATTTCAGCTTTTTTTCTTTCATCACATTCCCAGTGGGTCAGAAGTTTACATACACTCAATTAGTATTTGGTAGCATTGCCTTTAAATTGTTTAACTTGAGCTGGTGTAACTGAGTCAGGTTTGTAGGTCTCCTTGCTCGCACACGCTTTTTCAGTTCTGCCCACACATTTTCTATAGGATTGAGGTCAGGGCATTGTGATGGCCACTCCAATGCCTTGACTTTGTTGTCCTTAAGCCATTTTGCCACAACTTTGGAAGTATACTTGGGGTCATTGTCCATTTGGAAGACCATTTGCGACCAAGCTTTAACTTCCTGACTGATGTCTTGAGATGTTGCTTCAATATATCCACATAATTTTCCTTCCTCATGATGCATATATTTTGTGAAGTGCACCAGTCCCTCCTGCAGCAAGGCAACCCAACAGCATGATGCTGCCACCCCTGTGCTTCACGGTTGGGATGGTGTTCTTCGGCTTACAAGAACCTCCTTTTTCCTCCCAACATAACGATGGTCATTATGGCCAAACAGTTCTATTTTTGTTTCATCAGACCAGAGGAAATTTCTCAAAAAATTACGATTTTTTTCCCCATGTGCAGTAACAAACCTTAGTCTGGCTTTTTTTATGGCGGTTTTGGAGCAGTGGCTTCTTCCTTGCTGAGCGGCCTTTCAGGTTATGTCGATATAGGACTCGTTTTACTGTGGATATAGATACTTTTGTACCTGTTTCCTCCAGCATCTTCACAAGGTCCTTTGCTGTTGTTCTGTGATTGATTTGCACTTTTCACACCAAAGTACATCATCTCTAGGAGACAGAACACGTCTCCTTCCTGAGCGGTATGATGACTGTGTGGTCCCATGGTGTTTATACTTGCATACTATTGTTTGTACAGACGAACGTGGTACCTTCAGGCGTTTGGAAATTGCTCCCAAGGATGAACCAGACTTGTGGAGGACTACCATTTTTTTCTGAGGTCTTAGCAAAGAGGCACTGAGTTTGAAGGTAGGCCTTGAAATACATCCACAGGTACACCTTCAATTGACTCAAATTATGTCAATTAGCCTATCAGAAGCTTCTAAAGCCATGACATCATTTTCTGGAATTTTCCAAGCTGTTTAAAGGCACCGTCAACTTAGTGTATGTAAACTTCTGACCCACTGGAATTGTGATACAGTGAATTATAAATGAAATAATCTGTCTGTAAACAATTGTTGGAAAGATTACTTGTGTCATGCACAAAGTAGATGTCCTAACCGACTTGCTAAAACTATAGTTTGTTAACAAGGAATTTGTGGAGTGGTTGAAAAACGAGTTTTACATTTTACATTTACGTCATTTAGCAGACGCTCTTATCCAGAGCGACTTACAGAAGCAATTAGGGTTAAGTGCCTTGCTCAAGGGCACATCGACAGATTTTTCACCTAGTCGCCTCGGGGATTAGAACCAGCGACCTTTCGGTTACTGGCACAATGCTCTTAACCACTAAGCTACCTGCCGCCCCATTTTAATGACTCCAACCTAAATGTATGTAAACTTCTGACTTCAACTGTATATACTGTATTCTAGTCAAGGCTCATTGTATATAACTACTGCTGTACACACCTTTTCTATTCATATACTGTCCATAATGTCTATACACACCATCATATACATATATATTTATATTCTGGACTCTGACATTGCTCATTCTATTATTTCTATATTTCTTAATTCCTTTATTTAAATGTCTTGGGATTTGCGTGTATTGTTTTGTATTGTTAGGTATTACTGTACTGTTGTAGCTAGGAACATAAGAATTTCGCTACACCCACGATAACATTAGCCAAATATGTGTAAGCGACCAATACAATTT